TATATGTATTAGACCGATAAATATTACTATTTGTTTTTAATTTTTAATTTTTCTTCATAAACAATCGAGCGAATGAGAATACTTGGGAAAAGAGAAGGGAAAATGATAAGACGACGTTGATCTTGGGATGCGTAAAATTCTTGGCAGTGGGTACATGACGTTGAATCTAGTGCAAAACAGTGAAACATTGGTATATATCGTATCGGAAAAGCATCGTACGAACCCAGTATAACGGCACTAACGGTGGTGAGCATGTAGTAGACGATGGCCCGACCGCCGATCTTGCTGCTGAGGGACAAGTCGAGCGAGCCGATGGCGGATATGAGGCTGGCCATTATGAGGGGCAGTATCAAGCTCTTGAGCATCCGGAGGAAGAGCTCGCCGATGTAGTTGATGTACATGATCTCGCGCTCGGACCACTTGGCGCTCCGCGAGTTTTTCAACACGAGGCCGAGAGCGATGCCCGACACCACGCCCGAGACGGTCAGCATCGTCAACGCGTTGTGCTTCAGGAAACCGGTCATTTTTTCACGGGCGCTGCGGGGCAGTCGACTCGGCTGCTGGGGGTAGTACGAGCTGCGCTCCACCTTTGTTTGGCCGTCCATGCCGGACAGTGGCGACCTGCCAAAGGGATATTGAAGCTTTGAGTTTTTTTTTTTTTTTTTTTTTTCATTGATTAAATTGCAGATCCGTGCATTTACTTTTAATTTGAAACCCCAACCCCCTCGAGGGAGTTTTTTTAATTACTTGCAGAGGAAAAAAAAAATCAATCGTATTAACGTGATTGAAGAGAGACTTTGGCGTCTAGGGAGTTTTCGAGAGAGTGGAGTCGATTTTGGAGGAGGTCGGAAAACAAAAAAATTATAGGCTTCCGATGAAACGAATGGCTCTACGGAATCTCTGGAGATTGATGTCATTCGGCACGTACAGGCGTTTGACCTTGAATTTTTTTTTGACAATGTCGCGACATCCTTCTTGAAAATTGGTGCTTTTTCATTGTTCATCTTTTTTTTTCTTTCATGCTTTGTTCCAGGGGATTGTCGGGTTTGGGCACGGTTTAAATTTTTTTAAAATGTATTTTTTTTACCACGATTACATGAGATATTTATGTTCCAAAAAAATTTTTTTTTTAATCATTACTACAATAACACAGTATTTTTTAACAATTTCTTTTCAGCCGCA